GGGGGTTCGGTGCTGTTGGTGCCCGCGGGGCTCACCTCCTCTGAGCTGGGAGAGGTGGGACAGGGGCCAGTAGCGGCGTTAGGGATGGCGGCCCGGAAGCCCCTTCTTCTGGACCAGGAGCAGTGGGAGGATGGCGGCCCGGAAGCCCTTTCCTCTGGGCCGGGAGCAGTGGGTGGATGGTGGCCCGGAAGCCCCTTCCTCTGGGCCAGGAGTGGCGGGAAGAGTGATGTTCCAAAAGCCCTTTCTGTGTTTTTCTAATTATTAATTGTGTATTTTTTATACTGTGAGCATATTTTATTGAAAAGGAAAAAATCAATCCCAATATGTACAAAAACAACATAAATAGCTTAAAGTACTTGATGTTGTCTAAATTATATCATATTTGCTATATAATTTTATTTAACTTTATTGTCTCGTTTAGGTAATTAAATAATTCTTTAAAAATACATTTTTAATAACTTGCACATACAGATAATTTAACTTTCTGTATTGCTCGAAAATTACTTTTCCTGTTTTTCACTTTTAAAAATTATAGATACAATGTAGACTTAATTCCAACCAGCTTTATATTCCTCCAGCTATTTAAAAACTTAAAAATTTTGACGTCTCTGAAATTGTTCATATATACTAAACAAAAAACACTAAACGTTTGAGTGTTTATTTGTCTTTAAACAATTTCTGAGGAGTTTGGGGGTAATTTCTGAGATGTGTTTATAAAGATTTTAAGCTGGTATTGCATCATTGCTCACTCAGGAAAAGCTCATGCAATTCAGGGTCTTATTCAAATACCTAATATTTATTATTTTCACTTTACATAATTTCAGGCAGAGTTTTAAGTCCAAGCCACATTATTAGGAACAGCGGTCCCTTACAGATAGGCGTTACATCAGATGACCTGACGTTGGACACAGTTGACGTCTCCTGTCTTTCTCACTCTTCTTGGCTCTTTGCTCCTCTACTCATCAGTTAAATGATATTTCCCATAGGTTTCTGTCCTTTTTCTCATTTAAATTACTTTTTAGCCAGATGTGGTAGCATATGCCTGTAATTCTAGCACTTGGGAGGCCAAGGCAGGAGGACTGCTGCAAGTTTGAGGCCAGCCTGGACTACATAGCAAGACCTTGTCTCAAAAAAACTAACTAACTAAATAAATAACTTTTTGATCACTTAATCCTTTAGGTTCCTCCACAGGCTATATACTTTTTTTTTTCCCCCGCCTCTGGTACTGGGGATTAAACTCAGGACCTTGCGCTTGTGAGGTAGGTGCACAGCACCACTGAGCTAAAGCCCCAGCCCAAGGCTACATTTTTGTAATTCATAATTGATTATTTTTATTTTTGACATTTTTGGCTCTGTACTTATATTTACCTACCAAATATCTCTATTGGATGTCTTAAAAGTCCCCAGTTTTTGTGTGGTAAAAGAAAATGGCCATGTTAGTCACTTTCCCAGTGACCCACAATTTAAAGGAGAGGTTTATTTGGCTCGTGGTTCCACTGGGCTCCATGGAATGGCTAGCTGCCTCCAAGGCAGGAAAGCATGGTGGAAGGACCTGGTGAAAAAAGTTGCTTAACCCATGATAGCCAGGAAGCAGAAAGAAGGGAAGAACCAGGGACAAGAACACACCCTTCCCAGGTCACGCCCCCAATGACCTGCCCACTCCAACTACATCCCATCTCTGAACACAAAGTTTTTGTGGCACATTTTAGATCAAAATCATAACATTCCTCCCTGTCCCTGAAAAGGCCCATGTCTATCTCATTAGCAAAGTGCATTTAGTCCATCTCAGAGTCACCAAAGCCTTAATAGCCTCAACAGTAGCATTGTTGAAAAGTCCGAGTCCAGTGTCTCCCTTGAGACTTAAGGCAAACTCTTACCTGTGACACCACAAAAAAATTAAATACCTTCAACATAACAGTGGCACAGAATTAACATTTCCATTCCAAAATGGAAAAACAGGGATAGAAAGGAATTTGGCCAAAGCAAGATGAAAACCCATCAGGGCAAACATTAAATCTCTTAGTCCACACCAGTACCTCTGGCAGATTGTTGTGAGATTTAAACCCTAAAGGCTTGGGCAGCCCTGTCTCTATGGTCTTACCAGTTTTAGCCCACATGGCTTCTCTTTGGGGCTGCCTCTGTTCACAGCCTGCAGCTTTGCTCAGCAGATGTTCCATGTTCCTGACGTTTCCAACTTCCTGGGATCTCCATTACACTTTAAGCTTCATTCTCATAGCTTCACACGCTACCCTCTCAAGGGCATAATGCCTGGCTTCCCACAGTTTTCTGGATCTGAGCAGAAGCCTCCATAATCCCTCAACTCTTGAATTTAGCATTCCTGAAAAGCCAGCACCACAAGAGTGACCCTAAGGTCCTTCAGATGACCTGATACATCGTTGAGACATGTCAGCCTGAGGAATAGCTTCAGTGGCCCCTAAGCGCCTGGATGGTGAAATTTGGGGAAGCGCTTCTTAGGTGGCCTTAAATGAGCAGGGCACCCTGCGGCTCTCCCTCAAAGTAGAGTGTTTCAAAAGCGTTTACTGTTTTATACCCTTGAGCCTGTGAAGGAAAATCTGCTGCACCTTTGACATCGAGGAAACGAGGGACAGGAATGCACCCTTTCTAGGTAACGCCAGTGGAGACTTGACCCCTCCAGCCTGTCCCCACTTCCCAACATATGACTTTGGGGGACATTTAGATCCAAACCACAGCAAAGGCATATTTTTAAAAATGGAAATATGTTGTGGTTGGGTGCAGAGAAAGACAAAGTAGTGGGAAAGATTAGGGATAAAAACGGTAGAAGGCTATTTATGCTGTATTAAGGTAGGAAGCAGTCCTTTTTTCTCTCAAAACCTGTTCTTATTCTCATATAACAAACCGTAGTATAACTGTGTTGTACCAAGAGAAAAATTACGATGCCAACCTTGACTCCGCTTTGGATCAGATCCTCATAAGTGGTGTCAGAGTTCCATCGCTTCTTTCTGTGTGATTGCTTCATGCAGTTCTTTGCAAGAGTTCAAGATTTATTTTATCTGGATTAAGAGGCTTTTTATAGGATGATGGACTGTGGAAAGAGAATAAACTTAAGGTTTACAGATTGGCTCTGTGAAAATGTATGTAAAGCACTTAAATCCACTAAATAATAAATGTTGGTTAACTAGTCTATTACCTGCTCCTAGTTAACCATACATCCTCTACCTTAACTCTAATATTAGCTTTTTATATTTGATTTTACTATTTCTCATTGCTTATAGACCAAAATCAGAATTTCTTATTGTAGCATGAATAGCCTTTCACAATTTTGATCCCTTACCTCTTCCATTTTATTTCTCACTACTTCTTTCCCTGCACTCCAACTGCAACATACTTCCTTTTAAAAAAAAGCCATTCTCTTTCACTGTTGTGTACTTTTCTACTCTAAGTGCTTTCTTCTTTTGCTAGATGATTTTTCCTTCTGAATTCCTAGCCTATGTTCTACTTATTCTTTATCAAACAGACATTAATTAATATATACCTCAGATACAACCATTTCAATATTTTCATGGTTCCAGCAAAGCAGGTTCCTTCCTTATTGTGTCCATAGACTTTCTTCTCCATTTTGAATTGCATTTATTTCTTGTGCTTTTTTTTCCTCTCTTAAGTCTGATATATTTGACAGTAAAAACTGGATTTTTAAAAAAACCATTACAGTGTCTCCTTCTGTCAAAGTGCCTGATGTATTATAGATTCCAAATTTCAGTTGAATAAAGACCTCTAAGCCCTTCTTGTAGGGGAGGCTATATTATCATGTTACTTTTTTAAGTTAATCTTCTCATCCCCGTTTTGGATTATATAACAAAAAGAGATAGATATTATTACAAAGTATCAGAAGAGGTAACATTGTAAGGGACAATTTATGCTGTTTCAGTTTCTTAGCCAATTTCAGTTTATATCCAGTACTAGAATATCAGTATATTCACTTTGTTTTATTCAGAATTTCAGTTTCAGATCATATATTCATCTTGGACAGAGGTTTTTTGAGTATAGAAGCAAGCATTACCTCACCTTCCAGTTAGGATTTTTTTTTTTTTTTTTTTCATGTGTTGGTAATTGAACTCAGGACCTTGCGCTTGCCAGGCAGGTGCAGTGCCACTGAGCTAAATCCCAGGCCCCAGTTATGATTATTTTTTAAAACTTTGCTAACAAAATAACTTTTTAAAGATGTGTTATTTTCTTTGAACTCTAGCCTTTGTTTACTTGAACTTTATTTTCCATAGAGTAATGATGCACCTGTAGAACAAGAAATTAACAGTGCAGAAACTTACTTTGAAAGTGCCAGAATTGAGTGTGCAATCCAAACATGTCCAGAATTGCTGCGAAGAGGTATGTCATATTTTATACTTTGAAATGCTAATGACTATGAGATAATATTGTTAGTTTTTTTAATGTATTGAAGGAATAATGTATTCTTTAAGAATTTTAATGCTCTGTATTTTAGTATTTAGTGTGTCTAGAAAAGATTGCATGTACAAAATAAAGGCTTTCAGATATATTCTGATATCTGACCTCATGCTGCAATTATGTAGAAATAGTAGAATTTTAATAACTTTTTACCTACAGCTTGTCATTTCTGCTCCTGGTTGATGATTTTATTACAGTTTCATGAGCTAATATAAAATACAGAAAAATCTGAAAATTATATTAACAGCAAAAATATGTAACCCTATTTACCATTCAGGATTGTTGGCAGTGATTATTTCAGCTCATTCCACAAAAGCAGAGATAAACTAAGTTTGTTTTACTCTTCAAACATAATATGCATCTATAAAAATAACTTAGTACCACAGAAACTTAATCATCATTTTGTAAAGGTGTATTTTTTTTATGAACTTTATCTTTTTTTAAAAGCAGATTATTTCTTCTTGAAATTTGTATTCATATTTGCAGACTTTGAATCATTATTTCCAGAAGTGCCTAATAGCAAACTAATGATTCTGACTGTGACACAGAAAACTAAGAATGATATGACTGTTTGGAGTGAAGAGGTAGAACTTGAAAGAGAAGTGCTCTTAGAAAAGGTAATTCTTTCAGTTGCTAGCAATTTCATTTTATGGTCTTATTTAAATACCACTAAACCAATGTTCTAAAATAATGTATTTTTCAAGCCTTTAGTCATTCTGTGAAGGATTTCATTGCTAAAGAACTTACTTTTTTTTTTTTTTACATCTCTTTTTTTTTTGCATTGCTAAAGAACTTACATCTCCTTATTGTTTTTTTATTGTTTTTAGTACCCTTCAGATACTAGTACTTTTCTGAATTTTTCTGTAATTTGTTTTAAGAAATTTAGATAAGATGGTAAAAAAATCAACAAAAAAGTGAAAATAACAGTCTCCTTTTCTTTCTTTGAGCTCCTCTTTCCTCTCTGCTTTAAAGTCTTTCAGATAAATATGAAAATTGCCCCAGTCATTTCTAACAAGTAATCAACCAACAGTAAACAGCATGATGATAATACAGTACTAAATACTATATATTTAAGTGGTAACTTAAAGTCTGATAACTTAAAACTTTATCTACAAGATAGAAAAGAGTATTCTTCTGCTTATATGACAGGTTTCTTACTCCTTTGGGCACCATGGCTAATGAGTTGAAAAATCCCCTTTACTGATTGCCATGCAAGTTAATGTTAGCAATTTTCTGTAAGGTTGAATATATGGTTCTATTCATTTCTAAAAATATATTGTTATTTATATTCAATAATATTTTATGATAACAACTTTATATGTAAATGTCCCATGTAAAGCTTTCTAATAAGTTTTTATGTAGTCAACAATCATGAACATATTAGTCATAACTAATCAACAGAGAAGTTATAGAGAGGTATAAGACATCTCTGATTTTAAGATCTGAATTTAGACTTGGAGTTTAAATAGGCAATTAGTAATAAACATTTTTATTTAGATATTAAGGAAATGCTTAGTACATATATTCTTATAACTGTTATTGGACTACTAGAGATTTATCATATATACATTGAATTAGAAGTCCTAATTTCTTGATCAGTTAAAGATAAGCCTAGGTCTGTGTCAGTTTCTCTAATAAGTTAAAAGTGCTTTGAAATAACAACATGCTTCATCTTGAAATTTATAATTTTATAATATTGAAATGATCTCTTTGTATTAAAAAAAGATGCTTCAGGGGCCGGGGATTTAGCTTAGTGGTTTTCACTACCTGCTGCGCAAGCGCAAGGACCCGAATTCAATCCCCGGTACCAAAAAGAAAAAAATTTTAAAAAGCTGCTTCAGTTGAAGTATATTAATGATTATTTTGAAACCATGCCTAGCTTAAACTCCAAGTGTATATTTTAATGCTTTAAAAATCCAGTTGTATTTTTTTCCAGCAGATGTCAATATTTACTATTGATGAACAGAAATCTTAAGAGAAATATTTAAACTAGTTCTTGTAATAATTTGGAATACTTTCAATTAAACTTTGTAAATACTGTATTTGATTACAATATTTTGTTCTTGTAGTTTTTTAAATATGGCACACCTTTTAATTGAGATATAAGGACTATTTTCATATTTAAGGATTATGGGGATTAATGAAATGCAGTGGTGAATATAAATACTAAATGTGAAAAATAACCTAGAGAGTACAGTATTATTTTAATATGTATCTTACTTCACAAGTAAGAAAATAAGTTAGCTTCATGGATGTGGTTCTGTAGCAGGGATCAGCAGAAGTTTTATGTGAAGGAGATCAAAAGACAAAATTGTCCTTGTAAGCTCAAGGTCCCAAGTTTGATCCTCAGTACCAAAAAAAAAAAAGACAAAATTGTAAACAGTTTAGTTTTGTAAAAAAGAAAACTTTTGTCAAATTTAACAGAGTTTATTTGAGCAAAGAAGTAGACACGGGGTAGCCCTCAGAATTAGTTCAGAGAGCTGCACCCTCCAGAGGCAGTAGGAAGTACTTACAGGTAGAAAATATACTGGATTCCAGACACAGTTTATGGTTATAGCTGTGAGCTTGCCGAATTGACCATGGTATGATCAGTTGGCAGCCAGTAATTGACTGATAATCTAGTACTTGTTAGATAATATATTCCTAAATTAGGCTTTCAATTTTAGTTATATACCAATTTTGGTTGCAGTATGTTAAGTTGGGATTAAAGTATCCGGGCAGCTTCAAGCAAAATTAATTCAATGGTTTAGAGATCTAATTGGTTCCCCACAAGCAGAAAGTTGGGGTGAAGGAAGTAGAAATAGGAAACAAAAAGCAGATTGCTCTTTTCAAAGTTACTTTGCTTACGGAGTTAAAAAGGACTTTATGCTGGCTCAGGTAAGCTAGGTCCCCTTTGAGTGGTTGCTGTGAATCTCTCGGCTTTGTTTTTTAACTGCCTTATTTCAGAGTTAGTTGATTATTGAGTATGTGGCACATGGCATGAGTAACCCCATTCTAGTTTGATCTAGTCTGCTGGTGCCTAGTACCAAAACAGTGGCTTCCCACAAACTTTGTTTTGTAAGTGTAAGACAGTAAACATAGAACATACTGTAGTCTTCCTTTACCAATAGGGCATAACATTCAAGATCCTCAATGGATACCTGAAACTGGATAATATGGAATCCTATATATACCATTTTTTCTTATACATACATACTTATGAGTTTAATTAATTGATATACAGTAACTGATTAATAATTATAGCTGATAATAAAATATAACAGTATACTGTAATGAAAGTTATGTGAATGTGGTGGTCTCTGTCAAAATATCTTACTATACTTTAAATTTTTTTTTTTTTTTTTGGTACCGAGGATCGAACTTGGGTCCTTGCGCTTGCACAGCAGGCGGTGAAACCACTGAGCTAAATCCCCGCCCCTATACTTTAAATTTTTAAAGGAAGCTTCTCTTTGGCATATCCTAATTGTTACCATCCCTGTTCTTTCATTTTGGGGTCATGATTAAGTAAGATAATGCTAACTTATTTACAGTCACTGTGATACCTAGACAGTCGATCTGATAATCAAGGGAGCTACTAAATGACGAAGAGACAGGTGTGGCATACACAGTATGAATCTGCTGTACAAAGGGATGATTTATATCCCAGTTAGGATGGAGTAAGATAATATGAAATTTCATTATCTTACCCTACTCAAAATAGTATGCAATTTAAAACAATTATTTATTTCTAGAATTTCTCGTTTAATACTTTTGGAGACCAGTTGACGATAGATAACTAAAACCACCAAAAATAGGGATAGGGAAACTGCTGTATTAAAGACATCGTAGACCATTGAATCATCCCACGTAGCTCTACCTTATATTGTAAAAGCATCCTTAAATAACAACATATAAATGAATAGATATGGCTGTGTTCCCATAAAACTGATAATACAAACAGGTAGCAGACTAGATTTAATCCTAGGGCTATAGCCAATTTCTGATTTTGCCTATGTCCTGCATTCCTTCGTCTGGGACTTCTACATACTAGAGATTCTCAGTGAAATCTTTTCATTCTGTGTGGGCCAGAAGTCTCTTATTTCCCAGCGCTGTGTGATCCCTCATATCAACACTCAGATCTGAGCCTCACATCTGGCAGTCTGTGCTGTGCCTCTCAGAATCTTGCTTCCTCCTCATACAGCTCAGCCCTTTGCTAAGGAACCAGGGTAAATTGCTCTCTCTGTAGGCTACTCAGGAGCTACCTTCACGCATCTTCTCTTTTATAGTACTCCAAATTCCAGGTGCTTCAGTAGTCCAGAACTCTTGCTTTCTACCTTCTTAGCTCAGTGACATCACATTTTGCTTGGGCTCCAGTTTGTCCATACTTCAAAAGAAAACGTCTTTATGCAAAAAGCTGGATATGAGGATTATTCTATTTATTTCACTTTTCTCAAGGACTACAGTCTTATCTGTTGTTCAGTGTCTAAAAATAGTTGCCTTGTACATTTTGATCAGTTTTAAGTTTTAGCAGAACAATGAGTTCAGTACTTATTACCCTGTTAGAACTAGAAATGGAATTGTGTGCCCTTGTTAAACATTGATGATCCCTTTTTTTTAAAAGCACTTTAATTTGTTAACACCTTTTCACTACTTCTCCTAAAGATAATGCAAACATTATAGAAATTAGGCTGAGCTGGGGATTTAGCTCAGTGGTTTTGTCGCCTGCTGCGCAAGTGCAAGGACCCGAGTTCGATCCCCAGTACCAAAAAAAGAAATTAGGCTGATAAGCTCAAATTTTAATACATGCAATGTGATATGTAGCAGTTATACATTTATATACATGGAGAAGCCCAACATGGTAGTGGCACATATCTGTAATCCAGCACTCTGGGAGGCTCTGATGGAGAATCACAAGTTCAAACCCAGCCCTACCCAGACTTAGCAAGACCTTAACTTCAGATAAAAGATTGGGGAATGTAACAGTGCAGGGGCCCTGGGTTCAATCACCAGTACCACCAAAAAAAACCAATAATAATACATGGGCTGTATAACAAAAAGTGAGTATCCCGTTTACCCTTCTACTCCACCTATCCAGTTCACACATTTTTATGTGCCTTCTCAGAAGTATTTCATGACTTTTTGAAGAGACAAATATGTTTTGAAGGACACAAAAGCAATTAGAGGTTTTTATAAACAACTTTCATTCAAATTAATGAAAGCTTCTGATGTTTTCATATTTTCATTTTCTTAACCATTTCTAATCTCCATAATGATACAAAATAGCAACATAGATATAATTTTCACAAGTTTGTGAATTAATAATACAAAACTGGTAACACATTTCATAAAGTGGAAAATACAGAAGAAATATAGAATTTCGATTTTTGAAAGAAATCAGTTTTGTGTTAACCATTAATCTTTTTGAAATGATGAAAATCTGATGCCTTTACAGTCTATTTTGTGATTTTTAATTTTGTAGTAATCTTACTGAGTTCTATATATGAAGCAAATATTTATTTAAAAATTCATTAAATAAAATTGTAGTGGTGCTATATTGAACATACTATTTGTACCTTTTTCTACATAGTTCATTAACGGTGCTAAGGAAATTTGCTGTGCTCTTCGAGCAGAAGGCTACTGGGCTGACTTTATTGACCCATCATCTGGTGTAGCAGTGAGTAATTAAATTATTTTGAAAGCCAGATTATGTAAAGTAGGGATAGTTTTTATTATAAAATTATTTATAATTACGCCTTTGGTAAATACAGATCATTTACAACTTTTTTAATCTTACAGTTTTACCCAGAGTATTATACCATTAGTTGCTTTCAAAACTTGGGAGAGATCTCTTGCCACTTACAGTTTCTTTGATACTTTAATTATTTTATTAAAATAAGTTATTTTAATCCTTAATAGTAGATATGATTATGTTTACTGTTTATAGTACTGAAAATATAAAATTAGAGAAAATTAGAAAATTAGAAATTAATGTTTTCTGGTCTAGTTTAAGAAACTTTTAAAAATAAAAAAAATACTGTATAAATGGTAAAAAAATATTTAGAGTAGTAACTGCTTAGAAATTAACATTTAATTACATTACACTTTGGAGAAAATGACCACCTTATCCCATTTTAAATTCTGAATATATCTTTCAAATACAAGTAGGAATAAATTTTTTTTTAATCTTAAGATAGAATATGCACTGCTGCTTCTGAAAAGCAAAGATGTAATGTAGAGTAGAAATGAAAAACTTGTGCTCTGGGGTTTATTTTCCTTACCTTGAAAATGGAGAAGGCAAACCAAAGGTACTTCTTTTAAGCTTCATTCCGTCTTTACAATATGTATAATATTATGAACTTGATTGTAACAGGAAATTGTTAGACCATGCATATCACATTTCCAGAATGCACAGGTATTGGAGGAAGGGTGTTCGGACAGTTTCAGTAATGAATGTGATCTTTTTATTTCTCATTTGACTTTTTAAATACTAGGAGTATTAAAATAGATTCATATTCATCCTTGCATAAAAGTTATTACTACAGTATCTTTCTAATGAAAATATTACTTGATTTTTTATTTCTTCTAGTTTTTTGGACCATATACAAACAACACTCTTTTTGAAACAGATGAACGCTACCGACATTTAGGATTCTCTGTTGATGATCTTGGCTGCTGTAAAGTAATCCGCCATAATCTCTGGGGTACCCACGTGGTTGTAGGAAGTATCTTCACTAATGCAACACCAGACAGCCATATTATGAAGAAATTAAGTGGAAACTAGCAGTAATGTCATTTTATTTGCTCTACCAATGGATAGATCAATATAAACATTGTCAAAGGCTTCACTTTTTAAAATATACTTATTTTGGGTATTTATTTCAGCATATATAGATTTACAGCTGAGTGATTGGGATTTTAAAATAAAAAATGTTAATTATTCATATTGTTATTGAATACATGTTAAGCAATACTACATTGTACAGAATGTGGTAATTAACATATAACCAGGGTATGATTTATTTTATGAATTCTCCCCTTTATTAGAAAAACCTTAGTTTTAATTTTTTCAAAAAATAAATCATACATTTGGTTATAATATATGGCTTTTTCATTACAATTTTTTTAAACTATAATTCTTAAAGATTCTAAAGAAGCTACATTTTTTTTTTTAGTAATGCAGTTAATTCTAGACTTTCCTTTTTCTAGTATTCTTTTTCTTTGCTCTCTATTATGTGTCCTGGTACCAGTTTTGATTATTACTTTGAAATAATAGATGAGCAGCTAAAAAAAGAATAAAGATAATAAATAACATCTTTATGTATACAAGCATATGAATCTCGTTCTCTCTCTTTTCGGGGGGGGGGGTTACTCTTTTTTGGGGAGTCGGTATTGAGTCCATAGAGAACTGAGCTACATCCCCAGCAATTTTTATTTTTAGACAAAGTTGCACTAAGTTACCCACATTAGCCTCAAATTTGCAGTTCTCCTGCCTCAGCCTCCTGAGTTGCTGGTATTACGTATGTGTGGCACCATGTGTGATATGAATCTCATTCTTAATGCACTGAATAATTATTACTCCTAAGTTGAGACAGATAAATATAACGTATTTTCAGATAAAACTGTGCCTCGGCTGCCAAATCATTTGCATGATTACATTATAAAAGTGACTTTTATGACAGCTTCATTTTTTAGCATTATGAACTTTAAAAAGGATTATCTGTCATTTGTGAGGCTTTTGCTAATGGAAAAAAAAATCTCAGAAAAAACAACTTATGCCAACTGCATTAATTGAAATGAACTTTTTCCTTCGGTAAAAATGCCTATTTTTTTTAAAAAAAAGGTTACATAGAAATGATTAACTTTTTATTCACAGCTCTCCTATAATTTCCTGAAAATGTTGCTTGTGATCTAAACAGTACATGCTGCAGTTTTTATTCATTATGAAAAAGATGTAATGATTTCTGTAGCATTTTGAAATAAAATTATTAAAATGTGTATATATATATAAGTGCATGCCATAAATCCTTGATAAACATTCATCTTCATTACCAGCACCCAGATAAAAACACAGAACACGAACACCCTCACCCTCATCTTTTCCTTTCCAGGCATTTTCACCCCTCTCAAGGATAACCACTATTTAGATTTCCTATAGTGTAAATTGATTTTGTTTATTTGATGCTTTATATATATGAAACCATATAATATGTTTACTTTTGTGTCTGGTTTTTATTCAGGCATTTTATTTTCTACACCATTCTTTTGTGATGGTTCCTTAAAACGTCTGTATGCCTTAACAATTGTGCAGTGCCATCTACTGGTAGAAAGTGATATTTATAGGTGGCTGGGACTATGTACAAGTATTGTGTTGGGGGAAGTGTACATGGTGAGACTTTATTATTTTGCTAAGAGAATTTCCAGAAACAAAGAGCATGATAAGCAGTTACTTCCACTTTAAAAAATTCTGAACTATTACGACAACATTCAGTTTTGGGGGACTTACTGATGATAATAGTGAAAAATGAGTATTATGTACTACAGTAAGAAAACACCCCATGTCAGTTTCATCTTGTTCACTTGTTCAAGACCTAGTGAACAAGAAATAATTATTTTAAATTATTCATTTAAACATCAGTTTGCTAATGAGACCATGCCATTAAAATTTATATTAAACATGTCACTGGAAAAAGAACTGTGAAGCTTAAGCTTTGACAAGAGTTTAGGAATTTTGGTAAAGAAGTTAAATGTTGTGCCAGGGATTTGGCTCAGTGGTTCTGCCGCCTGCCTTGCAGGTGCAAGGTCCCAAGTTCAATCCCCAGTACCAAAAAAAAGTTAAATGTTGAAAAGGATCTTTTAGATCATCTGCTATATCACTCATTTTTTAGAAAACCAAATTCAAAGTAATAAAAGCATGCATCAGGTCACTTGACTAATGTTAAGACTGCATTGGAACTTGGCTGTTATTCCATTATTTGTATCCTTTCCATATTTGCTCTTTGTGGTTATCAAGAAGTCTAATGTGATGGAAAATATCAAAGAGTTGCAGATTTTAAGCTGAAAAGTTAAGGGTTAACTCTAGCTGCTATATTTTATAGATAAATTTAGGAATTCATTCCATTGAACTCTTCATGCTCTGAATTTCTTTGAAAATTACTGAAACGTATCAAAAAATTCAATTATAGAATGCTACACTTCAAATAGAAGTTTCTAAGTTTCGTTTAAAACCTCCATGTCTTAGGCTTCCATCACTTGTAATCTCAACCTAAACTTTGTATTTTAACAAAATTCTGCTTTTAGTTCTCTTTCCTCTCTTGGTCCCTGGTTCTCTTGTTCCAAAGCAGGTTTTATCCACCTTTGCACTTTTTAAATTTTGAACCAAGTTCTTTATTGTGGGAACTGTCCTTATGTTGTAGTATAGTTAGCAGCATTTCTTGGCCTCTGCCCACTAGATAATAGTAGCAAACTCATTGTCATGACAGAAATGTCTCCAAATATTACCAGGTTTCCAGCAGAGGGCAAAAAAACTTTCATACCTAAAGTCAAATTAACCAGCTTTTTCCTTTTTTGGTACCGGGGATCGAACTCGGAACCTCGCTCTTGTGAGGCAGGTGGCGGAACCACTGAGCTAAATCTCCAGCCCTAACCAGTTTTTTTCTTATCTGACAACTCACCTCTGGTTGAGAACCACTGATTAAGGCACCTTCTAAGCTAGTGATTCTCAGGTTTAGCTGTGTATTTGGATTACTTGAGAAAACATTTAATGGTATTGCTGATTTGGCCCTCACCCACAGCCTGAATTCATTAGTCCAATGTTGTTTGGGCATCAGTAATTTTTAAAAGTTTCTAGGTGCTTTACTATGCTGTCAGGGTTAGAATCATCAGAATGACTTAAAGTTAGGTGAATTAAAAATCTACGGGAGGACTGGGGATTTAGCTCAGTGGTGGCTGCCACCTGCCTTGCAAGTGGAAGGTCCCAAGTTCAGTTCCCTCTACCAAAAAAAAAATCTATGATAAGAGCAAGTTACAATTTAATAAAGAGATATAAACAAGACTGAAGGCTCTAATGTTTTGCATTAAAGTAACTTAATCAGGCCCAAATCAAGGATTGGATTTGTTCTGTCCCCCACTTTATGATGAAACGTTTCCTGACTACTCCATTCTTCACTGGTTTTGTCTTTCCATTTATTGTATAGTACTTGGTTAACACCACACTATTTTGCATTTGACTGTATTGCACTAGTACACAATTCTTTTGGTTTTGTGTTAAATTTAGCCACCCATACCTGAGAAGTAGGAATCCAACTTCCTACTGAAATAGCATTAAATATGCAATAATAACCTTTATTCTTATTCTCTTATTAAGCAGGATATTTTAAACTTTCATAGGTTTTATTTTGTGTTTGTCTGCCCTCCCCTCTGTGTCAGTAGAACTCATTTATTACTGGAAGTTATAATCATTTAAAGCCATGTCCATATGATAGAAAGCATACATGTGGTTGCCTAGTTGATGACAGAATACTATAGTGATGTGAGAAAAGGATGATCTTATCAATATATATTGCTGAGCCACTGGATATATATGTAAGAAAAGAATGCATTTTTACTTCCAAATAATTGCAGGTATACATGGGAAAAATTAAAACTTTAAAGGAAAAAAGATCTTTGTTACTTTGACAAAGACTTTTAAAAAAAATAACAGCCATATTGGAAAATTGATGAATTATTATTAAAACTAAACTTTTAATTCATAAAAAGATATGAAGCCAAAGACATCTACCAGAATTGAAGATACATGTACATTCAATAATACAGCAATATACATCAACAAAAGACTCATCCAAAATATATAAAAGCCCTAAAATCATAAGCAAAACAAAAATAAACATCTACAAAGATAATCAAATAGCCAATAAAGATGAGGTGCTTTGCTTTGTAAATCATCAAAAATGCAATTAAATTCACATCACCATACCACTACACATCCCTCAGAATGGCTGAAATGAGAAAGAAGACAGATGTAGAGCAACTTAACTACTGTTGATAGTTAATGTAAGATAGTGAATACACTGGAAAATTAAGAGTTCTGAGGTTTAACATAGTGTAGGACTTAGTAATTTCACTCTGAGGCATAGATCAGACAAATGGAAACATTCACCAAAAAGCTAATAAATAGGAAGCAAATGCTGACCATTACTGGAATGGATGTATCAATTGTGGCATAGTAACATAATGAGATACAGTGTAATAATGGAATATTTTATGACTGCTTAGAAAATGGAAGAAACTAAAACAGTGACATGCAAAAGAAGTCAGACCTAAGAGTACATACTATAGAACTCCATTAATGTAAAATATGAAAACTCTACTGCTAGAATTTAGGATGGTGCTTACCCTTGGAAGGGGAAACACTATTGTTTAGATCTGGAATGTCCCCAAAACCATGTGTTAAAAGGGTTGGTTGCCACACTGTGGTGCTGTTGAAATGTGGAACTTTTAGGAGATGGGCCTAAATAGAGGAACTTAGAACATCGGTGTCATGCTCTTAAAGGGGGTACTGGGACCCTTGTCCATTCTACTTCCTCTTTGCCAATGTCATGACATAGACAAACTTCCTCCATCACCCCTTCCCATGCTATATTGTGCTGCTACACAAAAGCAATGGACCAAACAGACCATGAACTGAAACTATGAGCCGAAATAAACCTTTCCTACCTTTAAATTGTCTCAAGTTATTTTTTCACAGCACTAGAAAGCTTAATTAACGCCAGTAGTCACTGGAAAGAACAAAAGAGGATTCTGGAGTGTGGAAAATGTTCCTTTTTCTGAATTTGGGTTTTGACTGTTAATCTAGTTGTGTAAACTTACGTGCATGTTTTTATATAGAGTATAATGAAAAATACAACTGCTGTTTAAATAGTGATAGAACCTATTCAAAGATACCTAGTACCAGCAAGGACTCTTAAACTGAATCCATTTTTTAAAAGAAACTAAAATTTATAGTTCATTGTGAGGGAATTTTGAAATATTATGTCTTCTTAAATATGTATTTAGGTATAATTTCAAGAGCATCAATACTTACATTTAAATAAAATATCAAGTTTGAAAAGTATTTCATTTTTCTTACAGTATCATGATATATGTGTGTTTTACATTTTTTGTGTGTGTAAAGTATGATCAACTTTGCCCTGAATTGTAAGAGTTTTCTGAGAACTTTTTAATTCTTGGACAGTTAAATCATTCCGCTCTCTCTGTAGATTCTGTCTTTAATTATTAACAGATCTAACAGTTTTTCATCATTTTTAGTTACTTCATGAAATGTTGAGCACATTCACTATTTTACTTCAGTGTCTTTATATCAAAAGGCATAGTTATTAACTTTGCTTCCTTAGAACAAAAACAGGCAAATAAATGAAGGTTCTGTGCTAGAAAAATAGAAGCTGTATTGTTTTAATTTTGTTATGTAGAATTATATTTAAATTACAACTTCGTATTTTAGTATAAAGATTTTGTATTGTCTGTTTAAAATGAGTGACAATAGAAAAATAGGCATTAAACACGTGTATATTCATAGTCTATTTTACAATTATATATCCCATTTTGTTACAAATTGAATTTTTGGTAGTTTTTGTAATATTAAGTCATTCTTGTTGTAGACATTTGAAAAAGTGTCAGCCAAAAGGTCCAGTATTATTACTGGTAGAATGCTAGAGCACACTTCTTGTCCCATAAATGTTTAATGATAAATGTGAAGTCGATGCTGAGTGACTTAGTGATGGTTTGGAACAGTAAGTCTGGAGCTCTGTCCTGGTATCAACTGTAGTTCAACAACCTTGTGTGTGAACCCTCCAATTAGTTTCAGATGAGTTCAACCTGTTTTATAATTACAGTACTGTTTAATCAGCACAGCTGGAGGAGTATATTTAATGAAATATACTGCCTGTCTCTCAAGTATTAAATTGTACATACCAATATTTTTAAAACATTTTATCTGAAATTCAAAATT